ATCCACACACCCCTCTTTTCTCCCTCAGGTGCTCCCTGCTACTGTCCTGCACCCTGCTGCTGCCGTGGACCCAGCTGCTGTCACGAGCCCTCATCCGCTTCTGCTGACGCAGCCCCTGCTCCTGACCCAGGCCCACACACCCCAGCACGTGCATCTGACGACTCTGTACCTGCCGTGAGGGAAGCACAAAATTCATCGCCTCCACACACCCTTTTTCTCCCTCTCTACTCCTACAGATATTGTGTATCTAAACAATTGTCTCCTCTAGCGGCTGGCTCATCCACGCCCTCGCCGTTATGGTTCACATGTGGCATGCACCGCCCATTCTGCCTCACATGTGCCATGCAACCCTGTAGACAACAAGTCTCCTACACCGCCTGGAGGGAAGGGGGAAGTATTGTAGTGGATTTCTCCCCTACAAACGCTGTTTGTCGCTGAGTAGCCGACCCCGCGAATTCCCCAGTGTATGCCTCGTGGTCTAGGTCAACCAGCGCCGCCTTACATGACGGAGGTCAACTACTAAGCCACGCCTACCTCCGCTATTTAAGACCTGACCTCGTGGTGACCTCTCTCTTTTTCTAGCCACAGCCACTGCCTGGTGGCCCTCGCTCTCGCCGGCGAGCATGGCGACCCACAATCTGGTCCTCCTCTGAGCACCCTCACCAACCAGCTCTCTCTACATCACGCTTGTAACCACGCTGCCACTTCCCAGCACCAAGCTGCATTGTATATCCAATACAACATGTATACAGAGAGCACATTGTGAGTTTCCTTTCTCCATCCCATCCTGAGTGTGAACCCAAACATCCCATACCCTACAATCTCACACTAGATATTTTTCTTGTTGTCTAATCAGCTAAACATATTTTAGTTGACCAAGGAACTGTTTTCACATTTGAGGATTGGCAGCCACTGCCCTCACTCCAAGAGTTTTTGGTCTGCCTTTATTAATCGTCCCATTCTTGCTTTTGTCCATCCATCTCTGCCTTCCCTTGGCCCTTTTATTCTCATTTTTACCAGTTGATACATCAACCATTATCTCATCATCTCTAATTATATGACCAACGAATCTTTTTCTTTTTATATTGCCTTTCAGTAATCCAATCGTTGTCTTTCCTTTTTCTATCAGTATAATTTATCCTAATATTTTCTAAGACAGTTCTCTATGCATTAATGGTATTCCACTAACACTTAAAAAAAAATAACAACTCTTTAAGATTGATTGAATGCAGTTTTTTAATCTATTCTTTTAAATTTGTTTCATATCTTCTCAACTTAGTAGTTGGTAGGAAATAGACATGCTTGTGTCTCCTCAAGTTACTAAGTGAGAAACTGTCTCACTTACCAGTCATTCTCTTGCTTCCTCTCATATTAGTGACCTTTCCAGTCCTTAATTACCTACTTCTGATGAACTTATTGATTGTCTTATGCTTGTGTTATACAGTACATAAAAACATAATTCTTTCATAAAATAATACAAGACTGAATATATGGACTACTGTACCTGCTGGTAAGTTAATTGATGACTGGCGAAGAGGAGAGGTTTGTAAATAAGTACTTAAGTAAGTAGATAAGTAAGTATGTAAGCACAGTAAGTGGGTAAGTAAGTCACTAGGTAGGTAAGTAAGTAGGTAGATAAGTAAGTACCTGTACTGTACAGTAAATAAGTGGGTAAGTAAGTTCATAGGTAAGTAGGTAAGAATATTTGAATAATTTGGACAAGACCAAATGAAACATGATGCCTTTTGGTTATTTTATTGGACAGTGGGTATACACAGCACTTAACTTAGAGCATACAAGCCTTTACAGTGGGCACCCCAGCCTGTACTGTATCACCAGGCTTACAGGGGGTGTTTGTGCTGCTGCAGCACTTGTAGGTCATGGATTGTCAAGGCTGTTGACACCATCATCTGCTGTTTCTTCTAAAGTGAAGGTGATATAACTGTACATATGCAGACATTTGTGTCCAGTAATAACTGCACATTGTTGCTGCATTAATTGGAAAGGGAAAGTAAACTAGTACTGTACAGGCTGTGTAAGCTGTACTCTCATTATTGTCCTGGATCAAAAATCTCAATAAGGTTCTGGCTTCTAGTAATGAGAATATGGACCTTACAAAGATCTTATAAATTACTCAAAGTGAACTCTTAAAAAACTAGTTACACATAGGACACTTAAGATATTATACAGAGGTCCTTGCATTCATATATACTATATTCTACATTATATCCCTTTTTGTTTAGGAAAAATGTGCACCAATATAGTCAGTACCTTGAGCATAATCACAAAGGCTTTACAAAAAGTATTATTTTTTTAAGCAATAAATATAACCAATGCACTTGACCTCTCTGAACAAATCTACAATATATTGGTCATTATTTTACCTCAAAGTAATAAGATACAGAATAATAAATATATATATAAAAAAATATGACAGCTGGAATGCATTTTGAAATGGTGATTGTAAAGAGTAGAAGAGAGAATGTTAAACCACCTGAGTTGAGACTGTGGAAGACTCATGTAGGAACTTGTGTGTGTTTGGCAGGATTAAAGAAAAATTATTTCTTCATTAATTTTCATGTTTTTACTAAAATTGAGGAAATACTTTTAACATTTAATGGAATATAAATATGACCTGTATATAATCTTTACAATTTAATCCTTCCAAGGAACTACATGAAAGATATGGTAACGTGAGGTTACGTGGTCAAGAAGTGTGTGGTTATGAGTCTACAAAGTGGCTGATCATTCTATATGACTATTTCTTGGAGTTACATAATTGACGGGTAAACCAGAAATGCAAGCCAACTTGACTAAAATTTAAAAGGTGCACAAGCTGTAATGCAATACTGTAGTGGTTGATTATAATATAAACAATCTTAACTAAGACTTAGCTCACCCTTAAACAAGGATATATTGCATTGCAACACAAAACCAACATTGCAATACATTTCAGGAGGAAGACCTCAAAAATGTACTATATAAGGATCATTGTTGCTTATGAGAACACTTAACAAGGGGACCTGTACATGAATATGTTTGCTGTATTTTATGATGATATTAAAAAGATATTACCACATAATTATGTTAATGGAAAGTTTTGTGAAAATGTGCTGTCTTAATACAACAAATTCCTGATGTAACAATATATGAAGAGAGAAGAGAAAGAGATGAAGATGTAGAAGACTAAATAATTTGTAAACGAAATTTAAAAGTTAAATACTAAATAATTCTGGTAAAACAAACAACATAACATTGCAAATTAATGTATATACAATCTGCCTTATACAGCAGGTAGTAATAACAGGAATGCTTGAGCACTTAATATGCAGTGCATCAGTGAAGCAAAGAACTGCTTGGCACTTGTAGAATTCTAGCTGGCAGTGAGCACTATGTACAGAGAACATCAACAAACAAACAAACACACACACAGGACGACACACGTAGACCTGAGGTAGTGGTATTGTACAACAGTGGAGGGGGGTGGGGGGAAGGGGTGGTGATGGAAGGGGTGGTGATGGAAGGGGTGGTGAGGGAAAGGAGTAGTGGGGGTGGTGATGGCAGGGGTGGTGAGGGAAAGGAGTAGTGGGGAAGGGGTGGTGATGGCAGGGGTGGTGAGGGAAAGGAGTAGTGGGAGTAGGGGGTGGTGATGGCAGGGGGTAGTGAGAGGAGGTGGTGATGGAAGGGAGTGGTGAGGGAAAGGAGTAGTGGGGGAAGGGGGTGGTGAGGGGAGGGGTGTGGTGAGGGACATGGTGAGAAAGGGAGTGGTGAAGGAGGGAGTAGCAGAGGAGATAGATAACAGGTTAGGGGTAGTGCGGGAGGGGGTAGCTGGGTCACATGGCGATACAATATATACATTCACATTTTCAAGGGGTGACACTTGGTGAGGTATAACAAACTGGTACTGTAAATGGATAATATTTGTGTGGAAAAAAATGATGATATAATGGGTGATATCAAAGTTCAATAATCATTGTGTTGTTCGTGTTTATGTGACAGTTGTTAAACATCAGTCAATCAGCCTCTTCTTTTGTAACACTGGACAATAAAGGACATAACAAAGAACAAACTAACACTTGAATGGCTAGTAAGGTGTTATGTGTTGAAATGATAAATAAAATACAGTTATATATTGTTTACTCAGATTGAAATATTCTGATGATACTGTCAGAAAACACTTAGACACATTATTATGACACCAATATAAATTTGAAACTTTTAAGTGTTCAATTTTATGTTCAAGAAATAGAAACACATTCTTGTTTCATCATATAACATTCCTCATGTAATAATAATGATAGACTGTGAATTTACAAACATATTAATTTAATTGTGTTGAGAGAAAAGTTAGGGGTAAGAGAGACATCATTTATACTTGTCACATAAAAGGGCAAACTATATAATTGATAATATACCAACAAATAACAATGTAACATGTAAATAGTGTTCCTGCTTGTTCTTGGTCATCACTGGTATAATACAACATGTGGTACACTACTTATGATTTACCACTTCAGGGAGTAAGTGAGAGGAAGGACTTGATTAATATCCCAGAAAGGCATACAGTACTTACATAAAAAAAGGAGCACCAAAAATAGTCAGTTTTGGTTATATTACAACAATTTGTGAGAGTTTTATAAAAATCTAACTAAACTGACATCATAGATCTATTGAGCATTCAAACTTCCCATCCAGACGCTGATGCAGTCACAAGTCTTTCACAGATCACTGATTCTCTTCAGTTTACATAATCACTGTGTTGAGAAGAGGAAGTACATGTTAAACTTTTCTGCTGGAGAAGTTTTTCACAAGTTGACACAGTACAATATTTGGCACAGACCCAAAACAGTGGACCGGTACAAAGTTCACTTATAAGTCCAGAAGATCACTTATGGCCACCACATTTTTGGTATAGATCACTTGTAAAATCTTCAACTACAATAATAATAACACACACAAAAAAAAGCACTAATGAAATCCTGATCAGCAACCTGAGGTGGAGTTTTGGCCGCGTTTTTTTTTTTTTCTTCAATTTTCAGTCGAACTATAACTCGCATTCTTGTAGTTTCACCTTCAGTTATACAGTACAGTTCTGTATATATACAACTTTAACCTTCAACCATTTTCAATACACAATGTCCATAAAGGTTCAGTTGTCTAGGCAGTGAGCTTCAGTTTTTGTAAGAATTTCCAACTATACTGTACATCTACTGTTTATATACAAAGGTTCTACATTGGTTTATTTTCATGGTTGGCATAAACAGTTGACACAGCAGTCATGAGCATTTTATTGGCACTTGTCTTATTAATAAATATGTCACTCAAATGTTAGGTCTCTTTGCAATCTTTTTTCTATTACGTTCTACACTTCATAATGTTTTGTAATATTATGTCTTCTGAGAGACATCACTGTAGTTACGTTTGCTGGGACAAAGTTAAGACCAGCCTATGTTAGACCAGTTTAGTATTATCCTTCATCACTGTGAGATACAAGACTGCATTTATACTTAACCACTGAGGACTGACTGGGTTCTTCTCCAAACAGCTTGTGGTAGATAATAAATGAGCTTTTATGTAACAAATGAAGTGAGTTTATAAAATGAGCATAACTATGAAAAATAATTATTGCCTCAATCTAAACCTAAACAAGGGGAGAAAGTGTGATATCTTTACCCTTATTTTGGAAGAATCTTTATCCGACAATCATTTTTACAGTCAACGGAAGAAAACATTGTGCAATGACATAAAGACATGAATCTAGAAAGAGCTTTAATCTGGCCAGCAGACAGAGCCTTTAAATGTGAAGAATATAAAATAAAGTTGAACCTATAATGTACAGTGGTTGAGTTGACCAATCTTATAGCCGGTCAACACAGTGAGCTGAATAAACCTTAATGAAGTGGATGATATCTTACTCCAAGTCATTGTAAGAACAGTCTGTGCTTTAAACGTCCATTCAGCAGAGGAGGCCAGTACAATACAGTATAAGATTTGGAATGAATTACTGAAGACAATACTGTACAGCAATAACAAACCAACTTTTCAACTACCTGCCATGTCAAATATTCTGTCTCACTGGCTGGATATGACAAGAGAATGGGTCTTCACATGATTTCAGATATGGTTTGAGTTTACATCTGGCCTCAGATAGAATGTTGTCTTCACTTTGCTCCATAGAAAATATTGAATGAATTTTCTTCGGGTCAGCAAAAAAAGAAGAAAAAAAAGGGGGCTGAACTTTCTACTCGTCCCTATCAGAAATACTGTACCTTCATACAAACTATTTACTTGCCAGCAGAACTTGAGTAATACATCAATACATGAAACAGATGAAATTTTTCATATTCATGTAATATTTGGTTGAATTAGATGTAGACAGTATGTACTTTGACATACCAGTAATTGGCTGAGTATCAAGTAATTGCCGTATGTTTTTCAAACATCAAGCATTGATACTTTCAGTACAACTGCACCTATAGATGGACAATTATAAATTATTGGTAGAAAAATATGACCATCTTTTATTCAGTTTACAATGTTAGTCACTAGAGAACTTGTCATCAACTATTGTGTTCTTTTACTTCACTTCTTTCCTGCACGGGGGGAGGAGCGAGCCTTAATGCGCGCTTGTAGGGTCAGTAGCAGACCTGCCAACACGTCATGGTTGTGTAATTTCTTGCCAAAAATGAGGCGGCGAACAGAGTCATCGTAAGTCAAGAGGGCAACCATGTTTTGTAGAAGGAAACCTTGGCAGTACTCAAGCAGTTGTACAGCATTGTACACCTGTGGGAAATGTAAAATTATTTCAATATTGTGAAAAAATAAAATGAAATACACCAGTGTAAAATGTTTATTTCAGCAACCTGAATACAATGTCCCCAGTTGTACTAACACAATAACTGACCTGTATACAACTTCTCAAGTTGTACTAACACAACAAGTGGTTTGTAAGATGTGGGCTTAAAACTATTCCTGTGATATTCACTGAACTGTGATATGAAAGTCATCTCCACCTCATGGTGTACTACAGTACATCACGACCTCTGAACTACAACACTACCTTTGGTGTTACTGTGTTTTGTTGTTAAGAAAACCAATAAAACATGGATAATTATGAGAGTACAGTACAGGCCAGTGATGCCTAATTTGTAGCTATAACAACCAGAGTGTTACACCTGTAATTCTTCTACAACATAACTACCTGAGATTTTATGTTTGTCACTTTGCTGAGAAAATGGAAAGAAAAATTTATCAACATTTACACCATTTATTCCATCATGCTCTTATTTGTTATACCAAAGTCCCATAGACTTACCTTAGCATGAATATACATAGACACGACATTATCAAGGTGGACAAGTTTTGAACAACGGGACTCGCAGTAACGAAGGAGAGAATCCAACTGGAAGAAATTAGCTGCTGCCATTAACTCCAGCACATCTCCAGCTTCTACCTCAAGATTCTCACATCCTCCCTTGTAGAGACTCTGCATCACCAGCTACAGGAGAAATATATCAAGTTTATAAGTGTATAATATTTCTGTGATCACCTGTGGAGTCTCTATCAGTGAGTAACCTCTACAAGTTGGGGGGAAGAAATCCATGTTTTTCAGTCATCAACAACATTACTTGTGAAAAGATTTATTACAATATTAATATGTAACCAAAATCATGACCATTCAGAAAATTATCATACATAATTTATGTCTAATCTAAAAGAAAAATATCAATAATTTCAGTCATTGTCACCTCAAAAATTTTAATGGATAAACTGTATACAGTGGGGTATGCTATAACGAACGGATCCTACTACGAATATTCCTATAACGAACGGTTTTACCTATAAAATTGAGAATGCTATAACGAACGCAACTCCTACAACGAACGCGGATGAATACCCGACTATTTCGCCTGGCGCATGAATATTGTTGTACCGCGACCCACAACAAGAGCGTCAGGCGCCATCTTTGTCTCATTGTGTAGCCAGTGCACCACTGTTATTGTTGAAATTTCGTCTTTTGATGTGGAAATTCGCGTTATTTGTATAACTATTTTGTTATACAAGAATACAATTGTAACAATGAGTCGTCCAAAGCGAGTGAGAAAGCTAATAACCCTTGAAACTAAGAAAGAAATCATAAAGAAATGTGAGGATGGAACAAGCATTGCGAAACTTAGTGATGAATATGGGATGGCTAAATCGACTATATGTACGATTTTGAAGAATAAAGAGGAGTTAAAAACTGTGCAAGTGGCTAAGGGAATCTTTAGACTTAGCAAAGCAAAGTGTAATGTGATTGAAGAGATGGAAAATTTACTCTTAGTGTGGATAAAGGAGAAAGAAATGGCAGGTGGTAACATTAGTGAAGCTATAATTTGTGAGAAGGCTAAACAATTGTTTGAGGACCTTAAAGCCAAGACTCCCAGTGGAAGTGATAGTGATGTGCCAGTGTTTAGGGGTACCTGCATGCTGAACAACACTAAGGTAAGATAAAGTACCGTATTTTTTACATTTTCCACAGAATTTTTTGAGTGTTAAGTGGTTGTATTTGGGGGCCTGGAACGGATTAATCCTATAACGAACGAATGCTATAACGAACGAGGTTCTGGAACCAATTACGTTCGTTATAGCATACCCCACTGTATACATAATTTAGTTCTCATCTGAAAGAAAAACATTTCAGTGTACGTTACCTCAAAAATGTCGTATCTTATATCGTGGATCTGGACAATAGGTGGATTTCCTTCACAGAATTTTGAGCTCAACATTTGCTTGAATCTTGAAGAGGCATTTACTAGAATAATCTTGTGAGCATAAAACACACGACCTTCAACGCGAAACTGGACATCAGAGAGTTCTGGATTGTTGACAAACTTTGGATCAATCCGAGCTCCGCCTGATATTGTGGTGTCACGGATCTCCTTAATTGGTTCTTTACCGTAGCAAGATGAAAATATGTCTGCCAGTAGGAGAGATGTGCCCTCATTCTGTTGATGACATAAAGAATCATTAAAACTGAACAAATTACTGAAATAAGGTTTTGTATAATATTGAATTAGCTGCTATTAACTTCATAAAATGGTTAACATTAAAGTACTGTGTCCCCTTAAAAGTCCTTTTTATTCACTCAAATTGTGGAGTTAATAAACTCTTCAAAAATCTGTGGTTAACTGGATCAATAGTTTCTTGCTGACAAGCCAATGCTTTATGCTTGATTTATCTAAAGACATGTGGCATTCAGCAGTTCTGTCAAGGATCAGTAAAGTGTTAACACCCATAAATGGCTACACCCATTGACATCCATCTGGTTGCCTTAGAAGATATTTGTACCAGCCAAGTCCCCTGTGGTTGACCAATTATGTAAAGCCATTTTGAGAGGAAGCTTAATATTGTAATGTGTACCAAAAATTCATCTTTACACACAGACTTACATCTCCACATCTGACACACTGAGACTGACTAATGCATAAATACTCTTAATATTGAGGCACTATATCTGTGGGATAAAATATCATGATTTAGTGTGAACGTATATAGTGGTAGAGTAACACTGTACACTAAGAGATATATCTTTAAAACTCACCTTGCTGTATCTGAAGATAGTGAAGAGGAGTGGCAAGCATTCATCCACAAACTGAGCAGAGTAATCATCTGGCCAGACCTGCAGGAAATCTTGCAGCAACTGGTCAATAATGGACTCCAGGCGATGTTCGTGTGCTGTTGCCAATGTGTGCATCCAACAGTGTAAAGTCCAAGGAACTCCCAAGTTCCGTAAATCCAGAGTCATTTCTGAAGATAAATTTATTGAAATACTATAATACATTTAATAATGAACTGGTAAGAAGGTTTGAAAGAAGTTCACAAAACTATAAAATTAATATGTTACAGAATTTACATTAATATGCATATTATTCTACATATTATGTACAGAAGTGCCCACTGTATTTTTATACATCTACAGTATCTATTATCTTGGCTCCACTTTTATATCACCACTTACGGACATCAACTAACAAACATACCAAGATGTCCTGATTCAGCCGAGTGATACATTGCCTCCTGAAGTGTCTTAATTTGTTGCTTGGTCAACTTCACCACTTGAGAGGAGTCAGAGGAAGCCACACTTCCCCTTCCTACGGGGTCGTCTATGATACACATCTGGCGTCCGGGTCGTCGATCTCGGTCACAAGTGTTGCCGTTTGCACCTTCTGCCAGAATCTCCTCCAGTGACAACACTTCTCTAGCTGATGCATGCTGTACAGGGAAGTTTAGCATTGATAGAGAACTTTCTAAAAATATATTCCTCATTGATGGATGAAAAAAGTTATATTTAGAATATTACTTATATGCTGATGACAATAGGTGAGTCAACAGTTTGAACAGACACACTGTCTGACCTGTTGGTAAGCTGAAAAAAGGTGAAAACGATATTTCAAATCAAAATCAAATCGAAGCAGAGCTCTTGTACCTGAGGTTGTGACAAAAGCTTGTGCAAGATTGACTTTTGTCCATGAGCTGCAGCAACAGCAATAGCAGCATAACAGCCACGTTGAGCAGCACCGGAGTAACAGAGGGAGTCCTTCATAAGTGTTGAGAGGTAGGGGTTGGCGCCGTATGACAAGAGGAGCGCCATCATGTCTGAGTGACCAGCGGCAGCAGCAACCTATATAGAGTGAGTATTATCAATTATTGTCAGAGCTTATACAACAGTTTTTACAGTGTATTGTACTTATAATTCTTCTTATGAACTTTTAATAATATCCCAAAACTAGAAAGAATATTGTTAGTCTCAAATCTTAAAAAAATAATTATTACACATGACAGCTTGTACTGACCTGGAGCGGCGTCTCAGTACACTTCTCCTCAGCAAGTCTCGCTCCACCTTCTACATTACCATTCTTCTCTAGTAAAGTTTTGGCAATATTGATATGACCGTGTATAGCAGCATAAGTTAAGGCCGTCCAGTGTTGGGTCTCTGGGTTGGCCATGAGGTAAGCAGGACCAGTTGGAGGTGTTTCAGCATCAACATCAGCACCAGCATCTAGCAACATGTTCACCATGGGCTCATCACCACGAATACAAGCCAACATCAGTGGGGTCAGTCCATACTCATTCACGGTATTAACCTGAGATTAACAAATGCGATCAGCCATTAGAGAACATTTATTCTTTATCTAAGTTTTAGCTTTATACATTGATATGTCCACCTTAAGTTTGTGAACAGTGTTAGGTAAGACTCAGTCACACTTGAGATTCAAAATATAGAGAAAATAATACTGTACTGTATGTGGAGGAAGAACTTATTGTTTACAGTGCATCATTGTACAGTGTAGTTAAGTAATGCACAGTACTGTACCCAACACAAAGGTTCACTACAGTTACTAAAATATATTAATTAACAAGTGAAGATGAAAGAACTGTAAAAATTGGTGTTTTATCAGTAAGGGACAGGAGAGTAAAGGCAGCAATAGTGAGATAAGGTTAGATATGGATGCAGCATACAACCATTGAAGAATATTTTATGTGGGACTGGTCTTAAAGTAAGAACTTAGTTCTCGTGTTTGGAAATGCATTTTTATTTATCAGTATTGTTTGAAGAAAAGCCTAATATACTGTACTGTATTACTATACAATTACTTTTGTAGCTGGCAGCAGCTGTAGAGCATGAGGCACTAAGTCAGTTCTGCCACACGACAACATCTTGAAGGCGAGGTCAACCTTGAATTTCTTTGCACACTCCATTTCATCAAGTTGCCGCCGAGGACACATTAGTTCCTCGTACCTGAAGTTTAGGATAAAAAACAAAAATGAGTTTATGACATAAGTCTTTAATGGAACATTTTATCATTCTATATATTGTGCAGCAACTTATATTATTAATATATATATATATATATATATATATATATATATATATATATATATATATATATATATATATATATATATATATATATATATATATATATATATATATATATATATATATATATATATATATATATATATATATATATATATATATATATATATATATATATATATATATATATACCGGTATACAGTATATATATAGTACAGTACAGATATTTTTTAATTTATTAAGCCCATTTTTTATTGAAGAAAGAGCTCAGAAGTGACTCACTATCCAAGCAACTACCTACTCCATCGGTCCATCAAGATAATTCACTTATAAAAGTAGTTAATGAAAAAAGCAGAATGTCCAATACTAGCCCATACATAGCCAGTACAGTAATTGCCAACAGTCAGAACAAAGAACTAACTAACCACCCGACCAGCTGGTAAGCTGACAAGTACTGTAATGAAGAGAAAAAGAAGGCTTACCCAATCATCCTCACTGGACAATCCACCCCAGGAAGCAGAAGTCTGGCTGCTTGCATCACATCGTCCTTGTCGACAACAGTAGAGTGTCTGTGCTCAGTGTGGGCAGTGGCCACTCTTACCCACTCCAGGAGAGGTGGCAGTACAATGTATGGTCGCTCATACACTAGTTCTTGAATTGGTGCTCTTGAAGCATGTTCAGCGTGTTCTAACTGACTACATCTCATGAAGTAGAAGAGAGCATGTAGAGCAGATGGTCCCCAAGTTACCTGTTACATGACACAATGATTATGAATTATCAGTATATTTCTAGCAGGTTCAAAGTACTGTACACGGGTGTTCGACAAAAGTTATTTTTTTTCAACTTTTACAAGCATCTATTAGATACATTAATGCAGGAAAGAACTAAATATTGGTGTTTAAAAGAAAAGGGCAGCATCGGTGTAATGTAACTATGAATGGAAAAGAGCTGGAAACTGTGAATAAATTCCAGTATTTAGGAATACAAGTTACTGTTCAGGAAAATGAATACTACAATGAAAAATATGAAGTTAACAAGAGGAGGAAAACCAGTGTGCAGAGTTTGAGGTAAATGTGTGCAAAGGCAGTGGCAGACTGGGCACTTTCCTCCAAACATGTTGCTTGTTTTCTGGCTGCTGGCCTGATGGCCCAGCAAGCAGCAGGATTTGGGCTGTTGCGAAAAATGGACAATGGTTTGGCGGTGAGCTTTGCTGGCTGGGTTAGTGCTCAAATTAGGCGTTGATTATTATTCAAGTAAAAATTGAAATAAATCACGAAACAATAATATTTTAAAATATTGTAGTGGATTCCTCCCCTACAAGCACAGAACCTTCTCGAATCCCCCAGCCTACGCCTCCAGCGCCGCCCACGGAGCGGGGGTCAACTATCTACCCACGCCTACCCCCGCCTTATAAGACCTGAACTCGTGGTGACCTACCGCTCTTTCTACCTACACCAACCAACACCCCCCTCCGCTGCTGCCTGGTGGCCCTCGCTCCCGCCGGCGAGCATGGCGACCCACAAGCTGGTCCTCTTCTGAACACCCTCACCAACCAGCTCTCTCTACATCACGCTTGTAACCACGCTGCCACTTCCCAGCACCAAGCTGCACTGTACATCCAATACAATATGTATACAGAGAGCACATTGTGAGTTTCATTTCTCCATCCCATCCTGAGTGTGAACCAAATATAACACAACCCCACAAATGGTGACCCCCGGAGAATCCCACTCACACAGGATGGAGGAGAAACTGATCACTCTCCAAGTCTTCAAGCAACATGGAAGACTGGCTTACCCACGCAGAGGCAGCTCTCATCAGCTCTACAGCTACTGTCTCTACACCGCAGGTTAGACTCCCTAGAGCAGCTCTGCTACTCTAAGCAGACAGCCGATCCTCTTCCTGCCCCAAGCACCACGTCCTACCGACCCCAACACACCCGTCCTGCCTCAGACGCCGCCCCCGGCCCAGCAGTACCCTCTGCCGCTCCTCCTGACGCGGACCCAGACACCCCTACAAATGGTGACCCCGGAGTGACCACTCACACAGGATGGAGGAGAAACTGATCACTCTCCCAGTCTTCAAGCAACATGGAAGACTGGCTTACCCACGCAGAGGCAGCTCTCATCGGCTCTACAACTACTGTCTCTACACTGCAGGTGAGACACCCTAGAGCAGCATTTGTGGGGTTTCGTGATATTTCGTTCACACTCAGGATGGGATGGAGAAAGGAAACTCACAATGTGCTCTCTGTATACATATTGTATTGGATGTACAATGCAGCTTGGTGCTGGGAAGGCAGCATGGTTACAAGCGTTGAGTAGAGAGAGCTGGTTGGTGAGGGTGCTCAGAGGAGGACAGCTTGTGGGTCGCCATGCTCGCCGGCGGGAGCGAGGGCCGCCAGGCAGGCGGAGGAGGAGCGAGGGCCGCCAGGCAGCGGCGGAGGAGCGAGGGCCGCTAGGCAGGCGGAGGAGGAGCGAGGGCCGCCAGGCAGCGGCGGAGGAGCGAGGGCCGCCAGGCAGCGGCGGAGGAGATGGTGTTGCTTGCTGGTTGGTGTAGGTAGAAAAGAGAGAGGTCACCACGAGGTCAGGTCTTATATAGCGGAGGTAGGCGTGGCTTAATAGTCGACCTCCGTCATGTAAGGCGGCGCTGGTTGACCTAGACCACGAGGCACACACTGGGGAATTTGCGGGGTCGGCTACTCAGCGACAAACAGCGTTTGTATGGGAGGTATCCACTACAGTACTCCCCCCTTCCCTCCAGGCAGTGTAGGAGACTTGTTGTCTGCAGGGTTGCATGGCACATGTGAGGCAGAACGGGCGGTGCATGCCACATGTGAACCAGAACGGCAAAGGCGTGGATGAGCTGGCCGCTAGAGGAGACAACTGTCTAGATACACAATATCTGTGGGAGTAGAGAGGGAGAAAAAGGGTGTGTGGAGGCGATGAATGTTGTGCTTCCCTCACAGCAGGTACAGAGTCGTCAGATGCGCCTGCTAGGGTGTGTGGGCCTGGGTCAGGAGCAGGGGCTGCGTGAGCAGGAGCGGATGAGAGTCCGTGACAGCAGCAGGGTGCATGACAGCAGCAGGGTGCACGACAGCAGCAGGGTGCACGACAGTAGCAGGGAGTACCTGAGGGAGAAAAGAGGGGTGTGTGGGTCCACACTCAGGCGCATGGGCCGCATCGGGAGCAGGGGCTGCATCAGGAGGAGCGGCAGTGGGTACTACTGGGCCGGGGGCGGCGTCTGAGGCAGGACGGGTGTGTTGGGGTCGGTAGGACGTGGTGCTTGGGGCAGGAAGAGGAGCGGCTGTCTGCTTAGAGTAGCAGAGCTGCTCTAGGGTGTCTAACCTGCGGTGTAGAGACAGTAGTTGTAGAGCCGATGAGAGCTGCCTCTGCGTGGGTAAGCCAGTCTTCCATGTTGCTTGAAGACTGGGAGAGTGATCAGTTTCTCCTCCATCCTGTGTGAGTGGTCACTCCGGGGTCACCATTTGTAGGGTACGTGATGTTTGGTTCACACTCAGGATGGGATGGAGAAAGGAAACTCACAATGTGCTCTCTGTATACATATTGTATTGGATGTACAGTGCAGCTTGGTGCTGGGAAGTGGCAGCGTGGTTACAAGCGTGATGTAGAGAGAACTGGTTGGTGAGGATGCTCAGAGGAGGACCAGCTTGTGGGTCGCCATGCTCGGCGGCGGGAGTGAGAGCCGCCAGGCAGCAGCGGAGGATGAGGTGTTGCTTGCTGGTTGGTGTAGGTCGAAAGAGACTGGTCACCACGAGGTCAGGTCTTATATAGCAGAGGTAGGCGTGGCTTAATAGTCGACCTCCGTCATGTAAGGCGGCGCTGGTTGACCTAGACCACGAGGCATACACTCGGGAATTCGTGGGGTCGGCTACTCAGCGACAAACAGCGTTTGTAGGGGAGGAATCCACTACAATATAACACATAAAAACGGTGACATGTTTCTAATTATTCATCACTTTAAAACTTCCTTAGTTTTATTAAATCATTACTCAGGGTCGTCTTTGACCAGCCAGCTGCTGCCACTTTTAAAGAAACTTCACGACTCATCCATTGTCTTTTCTTTAACTTTTGCAGCAATTGAAGAACTATAGCACAATCCTGCAAGGCCTCAACCGCAATAATGGGATTCATGGCAAACTTGTCTAGACGCTTTGTTGTTGTTTTCGTTGCGTTGGGCAGATGCACCAACAAAACATCCCAGTGTGATGCAAATGTCTCTTTGTTTTGTTGGCTGAACCATGTTTGCCAAATATTGTTGGGAGGAAAAGTGCTCAATGTGCCGCTGCCTTAAGGCAAGTGATTGAAGAACTACTTGTTCTAACTCTTACTTACAAAGACGGTGTGGATAAGTGGTTGATCAGGGCTATATAGTAGGGAAGGAACACTTGAGAAACAATGAGGTAGTTGAGAGATGTGAAAGAGTAATTAATGAAGATATTGGTTGGAAGAATGTGACTGTTGGAGAAGTGTCTGGAGAGGTGATGATGATGATGATGATGATGATGATGATGATGATGATGATGATGATGATGATGATGGTGGAGGTGATAGCAGTGATGATGATGATGATGGTGAAGATGATGATCATTATGATGTTAATGAATATGGTGGTCGTGATGTAGGCACAAGACGGATTGGTAAGGAAAATTTATAACATTTACTCACTTTCACTGCTCAGTTGAGAACACGAGAGCAAAGGAAAGACACAAAGTTACATATGGATGAATTATGGTAAAGTGTATCATAGTAACAGATAACCCGAACACATATGATCGCTTAATTTAGTTAAGTCCAGTGATATATGAAGCGTTCATCAAGGTTTTGGCTGAGTGATGTCATGATTAATAAACACAACCATTATTTTTACTTAACAGATCAATTTTTTGTTAAGATCACATATTTGTTGGGTGTTATAAGATCCTGGGTCTTACCTGAGCACGTGTGGGAGAGTTGCTGTTGGCTGCGCGGTGGTGGTGTGGGGCCACCCGACTCAACAGCTCACTCAGTTCAGCCAAGGAGCCAACACAAGTTGTCAACAGTGACTGTTCCAACGTCTGGTTAACAGGAAAATTATATACTACACTGTACTATTGTAACTATTCATCATATCTTTCTGTTACCTATAGGATAAGTTAACAAGTCTACTGATAACGAGCCAATCAGTGGCAAAAAGGATAAAAGTATAAATGTAAAAGTATATTCAGTATGTACGTTACTTTAACTTCAATATTAAATTAATAGTTGTAAAAAAAATTAAGGTCAACATTATGTAATACTGTATTACTGTACTGTACTGTATATAAAAACTAACTCTAAAAGACAAAAAAAGGACAATACTGTATTGCAGTACTGTACTAAAAATGTAAACTAAGATATTGTCTGATGAAAACAGCATAAAATAACAAATTATATTGCAAAAAAATTATAAGATAATCATCATAATCACCTTGGTGCTCCTGGAGTGCTCCTCGGGGGTGAGGGTCACACTCGATGAACACCTTGAGGACTGGGGACCACTGCCACTGTTTCCTGAACCTCCACTTCCTATTCCATCACTTCCTCCAGATGCTGTAGCAGAGACTCCAGTGCCTCCTGTAGCCCCTCCAGACCCAGAACTGCCTCCACTGCCTCTACTGGCACCCGTAGAGGAGTTGCTCACGGATGTAGCCTCAATACTGCCTGTACTTGCCCAACGTGGCAGACACAATGCTCCTGAGTCAACAAGATAATTTTATAGAATGCAAATATAGTATTACGATGCAGTGTAATAGTTACTAAATTTGTCACACTAAAAGCATAAACATATATAATAAATTATGCAGACAATTATCATGAAGTGATATACAGTACTGTACAAAAATCTTGTGAAATTATCTTAGACTTTAACACAAAATAATGACGTAAGAGGAGCTGGATGAGGAAAGTCATGGTGTTGCAAACTTGCATAAATTGAGATGTGGCAATGTCCACTACTGTATAGTAAATATAATACAGTATAATTGTCAAAAATGTAATAGATAAAATGGAATGAAACATGTGCCATAAAGATATAAATCTGCCACAGTAATAAATAAGTATTCACACTAATTCAAGATAGGTAACAGTTATTAGAGACCCAAAGACAATATTGTACTGTACCTGTTGCAGTTCTGCCAGCATTGAGGTGAGCATACGGCTGTAAGAGGCCCCACAGGTCCCCGTTGTTGGCAATAGCAAGTTCAAGGACACTGGCAGTAAGCATGTGGTCTTCCTCTGCTGGGAGACACTGTAATACCATCTCTTCTAATAGGTTCTCCATACCTGCGGTCAGATATACTGCAGCGTACCTGAAGGGCAAATATTGACATTAAGTTACCAGTGCCAATGACTATTTCACAATTAAGTCAGCAATAAATATGGTGAACAACGGCTTCACTAAATATCGTGCATCATCATTTATCTTCATTCTTAATGAAACACTGATACTGTACTGTACAGTATTTGTCTTTTAACTCTGTCGTCACTTTAAAGTTCATTAAAGTACTGCAAGATACATAAAAATTACATTCAGTGTTTATATACCTATAGAGAAGATTGCATTATGTTGCATATTATATTACAATTCTATTATGTGATACAAATATAGTAAACAATTTGAACACATGATGAATAACTAATGCATGTTCATTACTGGTACTGTACAACAATAATTAGGTCACCATTTTTTTTCTAAGTTTTTCATGAGCCAGATTTCTCCTATAATATCCTAGTTTAGTGGATAAAACCTGAGCGAGGAAGAACAATACAGTACTTACTCGTGGATGAACTTGCCAATCCGAACATCACACATCCACCTCATGAAGCGACCCACTGAGAGGTTGAGCCCGGCCCGAGCACTCTTCGATTGTCGCAGTTGGTCCCCGCACACTGTGTACATTGCGGCCGCTCTCAGACAAGCCTGCAACACAACAAATACTATATGACCAACCCCGTAAAACACCTGACCTACCTGAAGGCCACCATAACTAGAGGCAGCCATAATGAGGGAAAGAGGCTTATGACCTGTGTCGGATCCCTCCATTGTCCTTGATAATTTTGTCCAGGGCTACTTTGAAACTCAGAACTATTGTCACTTCCAAGGTTTCAGCTGGTAGACTGTACTGATTATATTGTTCACTACAGTACTTACAATAATCATTTAACTGAGACAAAAAGCACATCACCTATCTGACTATGAATTAAGATAAAGAGAACAATAAAGTTTACCTTTATGCAAGAGTCAGCCAGTGCTGGGGAGAGAACAATCTTGAGGGCTGAAGACACTTCTTGTTTACTGCACATTGCCAGCGGTCTGGTGAGCCTCTGGGCCTCTCGAGCCACTCTCACCAGTGCTCGCTGCAGCAGGTAGGAGAGTCTTGGTACAGCCTCCATTGATACTCTATCCAACTGCTCTCTGACACGACCCTGTTGCACTACTCTCAGAACATCATGGTTACTCCAGGGCAGCTGCTGCAGTTCAACCAATCTGCATAAAATAGATTATGAAAAGGTGAGTACTGCATTACAGGGAAGACATCTTGGAGCCACAGTGCTGCCTGACACCAAGTTTCTTACCACCTCCCTGTCCACTTCTCTTACTGAATTTCCTCCTCCTATACTTATACATGTATTCTCTTTGTCCTCATGTTCCAGTCAATTAGCCTTAATTTATGCTCTCTATGCTTCATTTATATAATTTATTTTTCTTTTTGCTGTTGATGCAACACCACTGAACCTAATAATGTACTGCTTATTATGGAAACAAGCAAGGAATACTGTAGCTTATTATGTTAATATGGAAAACTAAGACCAACAAACATTCAATTAGAAAAGTAATTAAAACAGTTTCCACTTCAATTGTTTCTTTGCATAAATAATTGAAGCATGTAGCATAAGTATATTCACACAACAACTATCACAGTTAAGGAGGCTACTCCAGTATTGTTCTTCATGTTACCTGTTATGACAAGTTATGGAAGGTACAGTACTGTACTTCATGTTACCTGTTATGACAAGTTATGGAAGGTACTGTTATTGCATGTTACCTGTTATGACAAGTTATGGAAGGTACTGTACTTCATGTTACCTGTTATGGCAAGTTATGGAAGGTACTGTACTTCATGTTACCTGTTATGGCAAGTTATGGAAGGTAATGTTACTGCATGTTACCTGTTATGACAAGTTATGGAAGGTAATGTTACTGCATGTTACCTGTTATGACAAGTTATGGAAGGTAATGTTACTGCATGTTACCTGTTATGGGAGTCGACCCAGACAAACTCGTCAGCAGCTGTAACATTGGTATTGATGGTCTCTAAGGACGAGTGTCGCATCAACCTCCGGACTGGCTCTCCTTCAGACCCAGACATGGAGGAATAGGTTGAGGTCGAGTAGCTGGTTCTCGATCCCTGGGAGCGCATGGTCAGCTGCTCAATGGCTTGTTTGATGTCTTCAAGTCCACTGGCACTCTCAAGGGTGAAGGACAGATCATCCTGGAACAAGGTTGACCTTAAAGATGAGGGAGTAATAACCAAATACTTTTATTTAATAATAAAATTGTTATCAATGTTAATTTTTCCACAGATAAACATTGATGGTAATAAAAAACATCAAATAGCTAATATGTTTCATAATGTTGCTTACTCTGAATGTTTTTACCCTGTATCTTACTGTATATGTGATGAACTCACAATAAAATATACCAAAGATGGATTTATTCATACTGTAAAGTGTCAATGACTTTACCTTGGAGGGTGTTGCCCTGTGTCGTGGCCACTGTTGGCCACGTCTGCCTGAACCTGCACCTTTGTACCCAGCACCAACTGAAGTGACGGCAGCAGAGAGTCGCTCATCCTCTGGCACTACCTTTAAGTTGGACCTCAGGTGGTCATGCCGGGGAAGCGAGTCGATTGGAGGGGAGGAGGAGGTGTGACCATCTGACATGGAAGCATGGCCAGATGACCTGTTTTCATCAGATGACGAGCCTCCGCCATAGGAGTCTTGCCGTCGCTGAGAGTGAATTATTAATTTATTAAACAAACTGTTGAAAAATAATGATTGGATAAATGAATAATAATAATGATTAAGTACTGTAATTCACATTTTTTCAATTATTATCAATTTATTGATATATTTATACAGGTATATAAAAATAAAATGGTCTGCTAATAAACACAGCACACTATTATAAAAAAAATAGTTAATAAATACAGTACATACTTATGTGTGCATGAAGAAACACATAACACTTATAATGTACCTGTATGACATGTACAGAAGCTCATTAATGTAAGGAATGAAGTTACCTGTATGACTCTCAGCTCGTCTACTGACAGATGGTGAGGGAAGGAGAGAATATTACGTCTCTTTGACTTAAGTTTGGTGGGCGGTCGTTTACGGTTCATCATGTGGTCACCATCTGAAGAACTCTTACTGAGGGAACCACAGTCCGTGCTCTCTGGGGTCAGCTGGCCGGCAGGGCGTCCCAGGTGGCCCAGGTGAGCACTCAGATGGCTATTCAGGTGGTGCTTGTTTAATTCATTGTAAGTGTCGACGTCGTCGGGTAAAACAGTGAGTGCCATCTTACTTGTGACCTCTGCTAGCTTCTTAAGGTCACAGCCATCGACCAACACCTCCGGGTCACCCTCGTCCTTCTCGGCCGGATAGTCGCGGTATTTGTCGTCCAGGGTGTCATCTGTGCACGGGCTGCTGCTACTGTTGTTGTTACCAGATGAGAAGCTGATGTCTTTTTTCTGTTCAAGGGCATCTATAACCTTCTCAGGGGGGTCATGTGGTAGTCGCTGGCCGTGGGAGGGCGACGACTGCATGTGTAATGCCGTCAGTGGTAGAGGCGAGTAGGTAGAGGCTGGGGGACCTGAGACTGGGTACTTCTCGGGGGTCATCGGGTAGCCACCTTCCCACACGGCGTTAGTACCACTGGTAGTACCCTGAGAGGCGGCGGGTGTGTCTCGCTCTGGATACTGTTGAACGAAATGGCTGCTCACCCCCGCAGGACTCAGTCTGGGAGCGCCAACACCGCCCACAGGGGAACCTTCCAGCTTGGTTAGATCAGGTTTGCCATAGTCGTGCTGAGGGCGGGGGTCGGACATCTTGACAGGTGGGCTAGCCATCCGCTGTGATTCCTGAAGCTTGACGGGTGGGGATGTGACCCTGTGAGGGGAGGCCACCCGCTCCCTGAGGCCGCCACCTCCCCCAGAAGACCCCAGCATCCCGAGGGCCACCCCAGGCGACTGTTGCCGTTGAGCTGGCACTACCTCCCGGCTCTGAGCCTTGTACACCGGGGTGTTGCCGCCATTCTTGCTGGGATAGTCTTGTGGTTTGGTCGGGTAGTCCTGCGGTTTGGTTGGGTAGTCCTGAGTCTTGCTAGAATAGTCTTGTAACTTGCTAGGGTAGTCCTGGGGTTTGCTGGGGTAATCTTGAGGCTTGTGTTGGTAGTAGTCATGGCGGGGGTAGTCTCTCTGGGCCAGGCTGAGTGGTGCCCCTACCAGGCGCTCCCGTGACCCCGCCCGACCCTCACGCCCGCGACCCTGTCAGTTAAGAAAGTCACTAATTATCACCAGTATAATAAAGGTTACCAAAAACACCTGCATTGACCCTGATGATGACAGGTAACACTGCAGCTCACTTCAATGATGTTGATAACTGGAGAAGTAAATTAAACTCAATAGTAAGAAGAGAAATAAAATTTAGGATGTAACACACACACACACACACACACACACACACACACACACACACACACACACACACACACACACACACACACACACACACACACACACACACACACACACACACACAGTACAGTACACCACACCACTGTGTCGTATAAATCCAAAGAAAAAATAATTCCCTATAAGAGGAGTACAATAGTTTACGAGTATCAAGTAAGACAAGACAACACACACCACCACAAATATGAAACATTAACAAGGGTGTACAAAGGATGTGTTTTACTTAATGTATTACAGCCTGAAGGTGTGCCACTCCTTAGTTCAAGACCAGGTGGAGGAGTTCAACTTGAGGCGTGTTAATAAGAAATGGGGTTAACAGCCAGATGATTGTGGTAAGACATTAGTGAAGTGGTAAAAGCAGCGAAGTGTGTTATACATATGTGGTAATATTACTATACAGTACACAGCTTACAGGTAAAGGGACTTGCCAGGTAGGTGTGTGTGTGAGAGAGAGAGAAAGAGAGAGAGCCACAAGTCCACGTCGACGACACTTATGAGGGGGGGGGGGAGTGATAATGTTTCCTTGGTGTTTCCTTATTCCTAAGGACGGGGGTGTAGGTGGCAGAACAGTTGGAGTGTTCTCTTTGTATAGTAGAGGAGGGAGGGAGTAGGTCCAGAGCCAGGCCACAGTTGACACTCTGAACGAGAAAATCTTCTTCTCCATTGTGTATAAAACCAGCACGAAATATAATCCTCGCGAGCTGAAGCCAAGAGACGTGGTGTATGTTGGACTAGAGGAAGAGCTTTAAACTTATGGCAGAGTAACACAGCATCACTTGGTTTAATCTTAACCAGCACCTAAGAGTCCATGTGGTCGACCAAACTCTAGTCTGGAAGGTAGAGTGGAGGCTTGGGTACTAGGCCTATGGAACAGTCTACCAGCTCAAGCCATGGAACCAAGGGCAGGGCTGCATAATAGTCCTCAATAACAAGGGGGGGGGGGGTCCTACACAGTCTATCAGCCTCCTTCCTCCACCATGGGCGCCTCTTGTTGAGATGGTCGACAAGTAAATCAGGTAAAATTGGTCCTGTGTTCAGATTACAGATTATAACATCAACAACAACGTCAAAAACAAGAACAGCAACACATCAAGATACGCCGTAACGCACCGACAACTTCACAAGGTCAACGTCTTTCTGTATACGACGCACACGACGACACATGACGCACGACTGACCCGAGCATTGACGCATTACTACCAGGAGGTTCAGGGTTATGAGCTGACCAGAGGCATTCTAGCTAGGGGGGATGGGGAGGGGAGGAAGGACGCACATGTAGAAATACGGATATTGGATCTGTGGTAAGGAGGGGGTGGAGTGGCGTGGCGTAAAGGTAAGGTAAAATAAGGTAAGGTAAGGTAAGGTAAGGTAAGGTAAGGTAAGGTAAGGTAAGGTAAGGTAAGGTAAGGTAAGGTAAGGTAAGGTTAGGTTAGGTTAGGTTAGATTAGATTAGGTTAGGTTATGGTCTCAAAACACACACACACACACACACACACACACACACACACACACACACCTCACCTACCTACTTAACGAGTACCGAAACCTATTTACAATCACCTTTTGGATAAGTGCTTGACCAACAGTAAGTATTAGCAGGATCATTATGTACAAAAATGGTGATGCAGTTACACGTACAGGCAAGCTAATTTACATATACAGGGTGTCACAGAAAAAAATGTATACACACTGCCTTACATGTTTTCGTGCAGATCGCATGAATGTTTTATATTACAAGAGCCACATTGTCTTCACCTGTTGATGTGTGAGGTCTCGTATAAGTGAGGACGATGTTGCATGATATAAACATTCACATGATCATCACGAAAATCTGTAAGGCAGGATGTGTTTTTTGTTTTCTGAGACACGCTGTATGGACATCATTCATCTGCAAATTTCACATATTTGGGACTCTGACGTCAAGGTGTGGTGTGGTGTGGTGTGGTGTGGTGTGCTGTGGTATGCTGTGGTGTGGTGTTAACAAGCAGGTGATGACAGAGCCTGATACACCTATCCTTACTGAACTGTGCACACAATTACTGTACAAGTGAGAGTGTACAAAATTATAGTTAGTGGCAAGAGGGGAGGTAGGGGGTGGTCGTAAAAAGAGGGAGGTAGGGGGTGGTCGAGAGGGAGGTAGTGGTCGAGAGGGGAGGTAGGGGGTGGTCGTAACAAGAGGAGAGGTAGAGGGTGGTCGTAACAGGAGGGAGTAGGGTGGTGAGGGAGGTAGGAGGTAGGGGTGGTCGTAACGTAGGTAGGGGTGGGTAAGAGGGTAGGTGGGTCGTAACAAAAGGAGGTAGGGTCGTAACGTAACAGGAGGAGGGGGTGGTCGTAACAGGAGGAGGTAGGGGTGGTCGTAACAAGAGGGGAGGTAGAGGTAGTCGTAACAGGAGGGGAGGCAGGGGGTGGTCGTGGCATCCTCCCCTCTCTCCCCCCTTCCTTTCCATCACCCTCTCGTAAGAGTGTTCAATGAAAGAGTAACTATAGTGGAGATGATGTCTTATGCTGGACGTAGAGATTTTTATTAAGAGATGCATGGTTAGGTTAGGTTAAAATAACAGTGTGTGTGTGTGTGTGTGTGTGTGTGTGTGTGTGTGTGTGTGTAACTAAAACAAACGTGGATTAACAACTCTTAAGCAAGATTCTTCCTTCAGCCGCCCCCCCAAAAAAAAGAAAAAAAAAAGAAAACAAGTATATGAGCAGTGAACCCTCCATATAACGGACTATAAGGAAGAGGACAATCCGTTATATCGAAATGTATCCGTTAGGTGTACAGGTAGACAGCCCTTACCTGAGGTTGGTCCCTTGTGGGCTGCGTCTTGAGGGCTGGAGCAGACCCGCCCCCTAGGTCTCTCACTGGTGTCTTGCCTAGTTGCTGTTGTTGTTGTTGTTGTGAGTAGGGCGTCAGGTCTCGACTACTACTGCTGCTGCTGCTCTGTGGTGACTGTTGCTGCTGCTGCGTGTAGGGGGTCAAGTCTCTGGTGCTGTTACTGCTGCTGCTACTCTGCGGGGACTGTTGTTGTTGTTGTGTACGGAGCATCACTCCTGCGTCGGCGCTGAGGCGGTGTACATCTCCTGGTCTGTGTGGGGGTAAGGAGAGGACACACTGTTACTACACACTCACAGTCTATTAATAACAACAAAAACAATAACAAAAACAACAATAACAATAACAACAAGAGGTGGTGGAGGGAGGGGGTGATGGTGGTGATGGTGGTGATGATGGTGATGACGGTGGAGGTGTTATATTATGTGTTATGTGTTATGTTGTGTTGTGTTTCCTAGGCCGGGGTGCACCAAGGTAAACAGGCAAGAGTTAAACCTGCTCCGGGTGGTCGAGTTTCCCGATCACCACCAATACCTTACCACACTGTTGTTGTTCTTCGTGCCCCAGTTTCATTACCATCGTCGACAGGTGTAAATTGAAGGTGTTTCCGTCTACCATACACCTGTCAAACACCTGTCGAACACCTGTCATACACCTATCAAACATCTGTCATGCATCTGTCGAACACCTGTCATATACCTGTCAAACACCTGTCGAACACCTGTCATACACCTATTAAACATCTGTCACGCATCTGTCGAACACCTGTCATATACCTATCAAACACCTGTCATAAACCTGTCGAACACCTGCCATACACCTATCAGACATGTCCTACACCTGTCATAGTCTATATATACAACTAGGTTACATTTGGTAAGGTAAGTTAGGTTGGGCTAGGTTAGGTTAGGTTGGGCTAGGTTAGGCTAGGTTGGGTTAACTTAGGTTTTGTGTTAGATTAGGTTAGGTTAGGTTAGGTTAGGTTAGGTTAGGTTAGGTGTTAGATTAGATTAGGTTGTGTTAGGTTAGGGTTTGTGTTAGGTTAGGTTAGGTTAAGTTTTGTGTTCGGTTAGGTTAGGTTAGGTTGGGTTAGGTTAGGTTAGAATAATTCCTCCAAGTTTCCACAAAATCACCTGAAATATTCTTCTATTTAACACAAACTCTCTACTAATTAATTCATTCATAGTCACAACAGCTGAGGGCAAGGTATACTCACGACTCTGTAACCAGCCATAAGAACGACCGTCACACACTAATGCTCATAATTCACGACCTTACCTGCACTTATCTAATTGGGCGACATAGGCACGAAGCATGGCGTTAAATATTCTCGTAAATTATAGTTGATTTTTTTTCTTCATAAGGAGATGGAGACGTAAACGAGGAGAGTTCTGTTATATATCTTGTGGGAACAGAGAAGCAATTAGCCTACGATGATACCACTTAACTTATCTTGTTGCATTACGTCTCTCTCTCTCTCTCTCTCTCTCTCTCTCTCTCTCTCTCTCTCTCTCTCTCTCTCAGTGGTGGCTTGACTGAGGACGAGGTGCATTTCTCAGGTAATATTTCTTAATTAACAAAAGGAACGTAGTAATGATGCTTCACCTGTGCACACACACACACACACACACCGGGAGACTCAGAGGAGCTAACAGACACTGGAGGAGAGAAGAAGTCTGTGAACCAAGGGAGATAAGAGTCAGTTCACAGACACATACCTGAAGGAAAGTCTGCAGCCATAATAAAGACACAACAGACAAAGACAACAGACATAGCCAACAGACACAGCCACTTAACAACAGACAAAGACAAGAGAAACACAACCAACAGAAAATAGACAACAGACACCGACAGACAAAATCAACAGATAGCCAACAAAGATCAAGACACAGACAGACACAGACACCAAGTTACTCTCAGGATTATTCAAGTGACTTGCTGTTCTGAGGGCGGTGGAGGGGGCGAGATGACTATGAGGAAAGACCTGTGTGGGTGAAGTGAGACGAGGTGAGGTGAGGTGAGGTGAGGTGGGGTGGGGTGGGGTGGAGGTGAGGTGGGGTGAGGTGAGGTGGGGGGTGAGGGGTGAGGTGAGGTGGGGGGTGGGGTGGGAGGTGAGGTGGGGTGAGGTGGGGGTGGGGGGGGGTGGGTGGGGTGAGGTGGAGGTGAGGTGGGTGGGGGTGAGGTGGGGTGGGGGGGTGGGGGGGGGGAGGGTGAGAGGGGAGGGGTGGGGTGGGGTGGGTGGGTGGGGTGGAGGTGAGGTGGGGTGGGGGAGTGGGGTGAGGAGGTGGGGGTGTGGGGATGGGGGTGGGGGGTGGGTGGGGTGTGGGTGGGGGTGGGGTGATGGGGTGGGGTGAGAGGGGGTGTGGGGTGAGGTGGGTGGGGTGAGGTGGGGAGGTGAGGTGGGGTGAGGTGGGGGGGGGAGGTGGGGTGGGGTGGGGGTGGGTGAGGTGAGGTGTGAGGTGGGGTGAGGTGGGGTGAGGTGGGGTGAGGTGGGGTGAGGTGGGGTGAGGTGAGTGGGGTGGGGGAGGTGGGGTGGGGTGGAGGTGAGGGGGTGAGGTGGGAGGTGAGGTGGTGGGGTGGGGTGGGGTGGGGAGGGTGTGAGGTGGGGTGTGGGGGTGGGGGGGTGGGGTGGAGGTGAGGTGAGGTGAGGTGATGAGGTGGTGAGGTGGTGGGTGATGGGATGATGGGATGCTGGGTCAGAAACTCCATTAATCATTTGTGTATTCAATTATTTTCAGTATGTGAATGGCTAGCACCTTAACCTAACCTAACCTACCTTAGGACCCAACACACTTTGAGCCTCCACCACCCCACGATCCCCACCCACTAACCTCTCCTCCCCACCCCCTCCTCCCTCCCTCCTCCACCTTCAGCCCTCCCACCCCCTCCCCACCCACACAGCCTTCCCTCCACCTTCTTACTGTCAATACACACTATGACTGGCTGCCACATCTCAGATACGCACAATACATTCTTCTCAATAAATCCAGCTGACATTTTTTTTTGTGAATAAATTTGAATGTTGATTTTTTTTTCTCCATAATTGGGAAGTGAGTCATCGATACTACAACCTCGTATCGACACTGACTCCTACCTGACGTCGACACTATTAGCTAACGTCACAACACTAAGCTAACCCATGACATCACAACCTCTAAGCCAGCCTGTGACATCACCCCACAACAAATTATGGCTAATCTATACAATGAGACTTCTCCAATTTCCCAGGAGAAAATTATTGTAATTAGAACTCACAATATACCCCAAGAGTATACCTGCCCAGCATACTAACGGGTCTACTCCAGCAGCATACTAATTATGACCCAGTAACAATTACAGAACATCTAAAGCGACCTGTGCAGTAAGGGGTCCTGTACACTGCCATCATTTAATATTAACAGATAACTTTTATACTTCATTGTTTATACCCTCCCTCTCTTCCTTAACTTCCTTCCCTCCTTTGCATTTCTTTTATTCCACCTTTCCTTGTCTTCCTCCTACTCTTCCTTCCTTCCTTGTCTTCCTCCTACTCTTCCTTCCTTCCTTGTCTTCCTCCTACTCTTCCTTCCTTCCCCTTTCTATCTTTCTTCTCTTACACCCTTCCTTATCTTCTTCCTTCTCTTGTCTTCCATCCTCCTTTATCTTCCTCCATTGCTCGTCTTCCCTTCCTTGCCTTTCTTGCTTCTCTTCCATACCTTTCTTCTTTCCTTTCCTTGCCTTCTCTCCCATCCTTGCTTTCCCTCATTAGCCTTCCTTTCCCTCCTTCCATCCCCTACTCTCTTTCCTTCCCTCCCTCCCCGTTCCAGGTCGAGAAAGCGCTGATGTAAGAAGATTCGTGAAGAAGAAGAAGAAGAAGACCTGACCATGAACTTCTGAAGGCTGTGTGTCGCCTTTCCGTGTTTATCGTTGTTTGTAGACCTGTACCGTCTAGGGATATAGTTTGTTTACCTGTGTTGTTTATATACATGCTGAACCAGTTGTGAACTTTTACGATGATCTATCTATCTATCTATCTATCTATCTATTTATCTATCTATCTATCTATCTATCTGGTCGCCTTCTGCTTTCTCCAGGGCGTGTGAGACTCCTATACCTATGCCCCGGGGGAGGGGGGTGGAGGGACACAGGTAGGTTGCTCTCTCTTGCTCTCTCTCCCTTTCTCTCACCGGCCATAAAGTACCCTGTCGACTCTCTCTTGTAGGATGCGGGTCCCTTCCTCCCTCCCTTACTACGCCACCCATCCTTCCCTCTACTCTCAACTGGTGTAGGACCCTCCCCCCTCCTCCCCCCACGTAACTTATAACATACAGCAATGACTATGTATATTGTTTGTATACCTGCATTGTCTATATACACGCTGAAGCAATGTAAATTTGTATGGCGATATTAACAGAAAAAATCTATCTATCTATCTATCTATCTATCTATCTATCTATCTATCCATCTATCTATCTATCAATTAACCTACCTAGACCTTTAACTCCCCCCTCTCCCTCCCAGCACTATAGAGACGCGCCTATAAGACTCGCCACAGCTATTATACTCGCTCGTGACAGAGGCTTATATGCTGTACCTTCAGAGAGAGACAGCCACAGCTTCCCTTACAACCCGTCGTCATAACCTTACCTACAACCCCTCCTACAATCTTACCTACAACCTCTCCTACCTCATCTACAACCCCTCACTTAACCTCATCTACAACCCCTCCTATAACCTCACCCTCACAACCTGTCGGGTGTTGGGTCATAAAACAAGGAGGTTCTCACGCCGCGTTTATTGTCAACGATGGTATCAGGTAATGGTGTAGCAGAGGAGGGTCACCAAGTCATCACCATCATCTCACCATCACCTCGTCGCCTCACCAGCATCTCACATCATCATCACCATCACTTCGTCTCATCACCATCACCTCGTCTCATCACCAGCATCTCACATTATCACCATCACCTTGTCTCATCACCATCACTTCGTCTCATCACCATCACCTCGTCTCATCACCATCACCTCGTCTTATCATCATTTCACATCATCATCACATCACTTGGTCACCATCATCACCAATAACAAGGGTCCTGTGTCGTAGTGAGGGAACAAGACACCCTGGGGCCTGGGAATGAAGTGCTCAGCAGGGGTGACGTAGACAATTTCCCGGGCGGTAGGTGGAGGGAGGGAACCAGTTGTAACTCCTTCCCTCCCACACATGTCACTGCTCGAGATGTACCACCAAGGTCAAGGTTTTACCACACCATTTACGACTTGATTCCATCCAACGTGATCAAGTTAGGCTGGGAAATTTGCCGCCATTGTCTGCACGAGTAAACAGGGTGTCCCAGAAAAATGTATACACACGCGTTAATGTTTGTATTGTAACAGCAACATTGACCTCACGCGATCTCTAATAATATCTGAATACATTTTTTTAAGACACCTCATAATAGTTGAGTTACTCTTATAATGAACATCCTCCCTGTTGTGGTAATGGATTTAAGACGGAGCGTGATGTATGGAAGGACCTTTGGGAAGCTTTTGTCTTGACGGTGAGTGGGAGGTGGAGAGTCTGGCATGAGGTTAGTAGCTACGGGAGACTGCAGCCTTCCTTAGATAGATAGATGGATAATCAGTAAAATCGTCATACAAGTTTACATTGATTCACCCTGTACTAGATAAAGACAGTTCAGATATACAATGTACAGTTGGTGCCCCGTCACGGAATGAATCTCCGAACTGACTTACCCTGATTGTCTCAACTCATTCTGGTTCGATGCTGCTTCATTTGGGGCGGGAGCCAACTTTTGACCCCGACTGTAAATCCACCCAAAAGAGTCCTGTCAGTTCTCTCTCCCATCCATGAACCCTGAGACTCGTGAACCTGTGAATCCGAGACATCACACAGCGTTAGGTCCATAGATGGTGTACAGTGGGATGTCTCGGGTTCACAGGTTCATGAGTCTCGGGGTTCATGGATGGGAGGGAGGACTGACAGGTAAACAGAGTCACTTGTGGTGTGAGAGAGAGAGGGTGAGGCAGGGCGATCAACTAGCACCAGTGACTGCACACGTTGACGCTGATTGTTACGGATGACTGTATGTCGTAGTAATTTTGTCTTTATGAGAGGTGTCGTAAGCATTAAAATAGTTGTTATAGATGGTGGAACGGAGTTATCCATCCCTCTGATTGGTCGGAAGTGTTGAAACAGTTGTTATAGATGGTGAAGCTGGGTCATCCATCTCTCTAATTGGTCATAGGTGTTGGAGAAGACAGTGATTATTATTATGGATGACAGTGATTATTATTATAGATGACAGTGATGAGAGGAGACACACAGGTGAGACACATTAAGAGTACAGGTAATGACAGGTGTAAAATGTTTATACCTGCGACCTCCGTTTCCTTTCTGGTAATTGTTGTGTTTACGAGCAACTTTTTTTTTTCTCGTAAATGAACCTTAATACATTTACAATTTGCTTTGTTTTCATTATAATTAAAGTTTATTGTAATGGTGGTTGACTTAGGGGAATATTGTTGCCTCTCTTACAACTAACTACACCCTACAACCTACCCTACAACACATACGTCACCTACACCCTACAACATACAGCCACCTACAACCTACCACAACCTACAACACCACCACCATCTACAACAGCCACCACCACCCTCCAAAACTGACGTCACCTCCAACACACCACACCACCTACACCCTACAACACACCACCACCTACACACTACAACACATACGACACCTACACCCCCTTACCATCAGGTGTAACTTCCGGGTTTGTTCACCAGACAAGCTGCAACCAATCCCCGGTTTCCTGGGGGTCCCCGTCAACTCTAATCCCAGGATGAACGATACAAGGCACGACCTTATCATCGTTCACGGGAGGGTTTCCAATATTTTTACTCTAGGATGGACAAGGTTAAGTTAGGTTAGGCCAGGGGATAACATGGTCGCTGTTTACATAAATTACATCTTTTTTTGTTGTACAATAAAATGGAACGAGAAGAATGTTAAGATATGCTCTCTCTCTCTCTCTCTCTCTCTCTCTCTCTCTCTCTCTCTCTCTCTCTCTGTGTTTGTCTTAGTCCATCTCTCATTCTGCGTGTTTGTCTCTCTCAATAAATGGGTTTAGTCTCCCGGGGGTACAATAAAACGGTACAATAACACGGTACGGTACAATAAAACGGTACAATAACACGGTACGGTACAATAACACGGTACAATAACACGGTACGGTGCAATAAAACGGTACAATAACACGGTACAATAACACGGTACGGTACAATAAAACGGTACAATAACACGGTACGGTACAATAAAACGGTACAATAACACGGTACGGTACAATAAAACGGTACAATAAGACGGATGTTGTATAAAATATCTCTGGGTTCGGGTTACAGGTTAAGCTGTTGATCAAAGACGGAAGGAAGGTAATGTGACCCAGCCCGCAGGTGGACGCAGGACACGGGTAGGTGGACACAGGACACGGGTAGGTGGACACAGGACACGTGGATTATATAGGTGGACACGGGTAGGAGGACACAGGGATACAAGTTGGACATACCACCACTACCACAACTACCATCACTACTATGGCAACAACTAACACTACCACTATTACTACCAACTATAACTACCGCCATTAACACAGCTACCACCACTAGTACCTCCTATCTTTACTATTACCGTTACGTAAATACTACTACCACTACCGTAACTACCACTATTACCACCACTATCGTAACTACCACTATTACCACCACTACCGTAACTACCACTATTACCACCACTCCCGTAACTACCACTATTACCACAACTAATACCATCATCAAAACCACTGGTGTTCACTCGTAAAATTCCAGGTTTAAGACTGAGTGTGTTGGAGTAGATTGTTGGTGTAGCGTTGGTGTTGGTGGGGGGGGAGACAGTGTTGATGAGGAGATAGTGTTGGTGATGGAAAGTGTTGGTGAGGAAGACATTGTTGTTGAGGAGGGAGATAGTGATGGCGAGTAAGATAGTGTTGGAGAACGAGACAGTGTTGGCAGAACAGTGTTGGAGGGAAACAGTGTTGGCAGGGAGACAGTGTTGGAGAACGAGACAGCTTTGGAGGAGACAGTGTTGGAGAGGGAGACAGTGTTGGCGAGGGAGACAGTGTTGGTGAGGGAGACAGTGTTGGAGAAGGAGACGCGCCACCACAACAAGTCGGACAAAGAGAAGGAGAGAATTAGTGAGGAATCTCCTTCATGACCGCGGTGTGTAGGGTTAGCCTAGAGGTGGGTGCTGGCCTACTTGTCTCTCAGCTAGCCTGCTTTTTGTGGCCCCTCCTCCTCCTCCTCCCTCTCTCCCTCCTCCTCCCCTCCCTCCCTCTCCACATACTTCTTTTCCTTCTCCTCTCTCTCTCTCCCCCTCCTTCCATATACCTCTCTCTCTCTCTCTCCCTCCATATACTTCTCTTCTCCTCCTTTCTCTCCCTCTATCTCTCCCCCTTCTCTTCTCCCTTTCTTCCTCTCCACATACTTCTCTTCTCCCTTTCTTCCTCCCTCCACATACTTCCTCCCTACATTACCAACTGACTCACCATCACCACTCACCACTCACCATCACCATTCATTATCCCCACCTCACCATCAACACAATTATATGGTGGTCAAATGAACAGTAATTAACGCAGTGTCATACAGGTATGGTGAAACACAACATATATTACATTGACACTCTACTGTATGTATGTTGATGGCCACACACCTGTCAGCGTACCAAACACCTGTCAGAGTATCACACACCTGTCAGAGTACCACATACTTGTCAGAGTACTACACACCTGTCAGAGTACCAAACACTTGTCAGAGTACCACACACCTGTCAGAGTACCACACACCTGTCAGAGTACCACATACTTGTCAAGCACACACACCTGTCAAGTGCAAAACACTTGTCAAGTACCCACACACCTGTCAGAGTACACACCTGTCAGAGTACCACACACCTGTCAGAGTACCACACACCTGTCAGAGTACCACACACGTGCATCTGTGGCGATATAAGGAATTAACTCCTGGCTACCATCACCACCACCACCACCTCTTCTTCTTCTCTTTCTCCTCCCTTTCACCTTCTCCCTCTCTCCTCACCCTTCTCCCTCTCTCCCTCACCCTCTTTTTCTTCTCTCTCCCTCTCATCTTTCTCCTCGCTCTCCCTAACCTCCTTATTCTCCTCTCTCCCCTTTCTCCTCTCTCCTTATTCTCTCTCCTCTCCTCCTCCTCCACCGTTCTAATACACTATCATTTGACCTGTTTCCCCTGATGACAATTTTCGCCTTACAATACAATAGCTGACCCAAGACACCTCTGCCCCACTGACCTTCCTGTATACTTACCGACTGTTACTGAAATCATATAGTCAACAAATTACCATGATTATGACTCAGGTGAATTGTGATTATTATACAGACAGACAGAGACAGACAGACGATCACTACAGTATGATGAAATAGAGGTGGTTATAGTAATGAAGAATAATAAAGAAATGATGATAATAAATGCGTTTTTGGTATACGAGATGAGAGAGAGAGAGAGAGAGAGAGAGAGAGAGAGAGAGAGAGAGAGAGGCGGTGACTCACGAAAGTAATGGTTATACCTGACCTCATCTCGTCTCAACACACCCATCTATGACAGGTGTAGGTAATTGATGTGTAGGTGTAGATGTATGTAAAATATGTGCAGGTGTACTTGTCATTACGTGATCGATGGTCGATAAGAAACCACAGTTGATCAGCACTGTGAGAAAGACATCTGTTAATAACTTAAAGACGAGAAACAACATCATTTAACCTAACCTCAACCAACCATAACATCACCAGGCAGCTGTTACCACTACTACTGCTGCGGCTGTGATTATTTCACCTACTGCACACTACCTCACTGCTCTACACCACACCAGCGGCGTCTTACCGTGTGTCCGGGAAGCGCTCCGTCATAGCCCTGTTGTAAGCGTCCTGTAAGCGGTAGCTGAAGGCAGCCTCGATCTTGCGTGAGAGGGAGGAGTTGGGGGCACACCAGGCTGAGGGGAGGTTGGTGCTCCCGGGCTCCGACAACTTCCTGGCTCACCTCGCCCACCACGCCGCGTCCTCACTACTCTGGTGGTCCTCTCGGTGCTCCAGGGTGGCGCTAGATGACCAACTGCCCTCGGGGGTCAGGGGCGGATGAAGGCCATTCCCCGGAGCTATCCGTGAGGCGTTCTGGGTTATCAGCACAACTTCGGTACGACAACTCCGAACTGGAGTGGAGGCGCTGAGGAGCGAGGCGGGGCGAGGCTGGAGGTGAAGCTCAACCTCCCTACAGGAGTTCTCAATACGGACAAAATCTAGAGTGGTCATAGACGACCTCCGCCACGCACCATCATGGCCACCTCCTTCACCGCCCTCGGGCAAGGACCTGGATGAGGGTGTCGACGTAAGGGGCAGAGAGGGAATGGTGGAGAACACGGGAAGTAGGGAGGAAGAGGAGGAGGAACACACTGTAAGTGAGTGGGGGGAGGGAGACTGTGGGGGGAAGGAGGAGGTGGACGAGGGCTGTGACACACCCTGGCGGGAGACACAGGAGACAGGCTGTGAAGGCTTGAAGGGCTGCTGGCGCCTGCACGGCTGTCCAGCATAACAGTCCTTACACGTACAGATCACGGACACGTACTGCTTGTGGCCGTACACACGAATGGTGCACGACATGACGGGTGCACAGAGAGGTCATCTTTGGGTGGATGAGCTCACCTGGCTGTATCCTCAGCGTTTACACCCCTCACCGTCCTCAACCTTCAGGTAATGTCCGTCTCTGTATGCACGCTCCACCAACACCTTCCTCACTCCCCGAACAACGTGAGGCAGTGAACAATACTTGAGGCGGCCAGTTGTGTGTTGTGGTGGCGCGGTCGGGGTCAAGACTCGCCTTCACCAGTACGTCACTCACCAGTTCGTCACTCACCAGTACGTCACTCACCGGTACGTCACCCACCAGTACGTCACTCACCAGTACGTCACCACCGGTACGTCACTCACCGGTACGTCACTCAACAAAACACTAAGATCCCATTTTACTTCAAGATCTTTAATGTTTCTGTAAATAAGTCATAATAGGTTGTAAAGTTTATCTTATAACAACCACAATACAACCTGTATTATAACAACACTAATATATGCTACAACACACACACACACACACACACACACACACACACACACACACACACACACCACTCTTCAACTACTAGCGAGGGTATCTGGTATGGGAACAGGTGTTGATGTAAGTAGCAGGTGGAGGAGGAGGAAGAGGTGGGTGACTCAATGGTTAGGGGGGAGGTGGGGGCGTGTGAGTCAGGGGGTCAGGGGAGGCAGTCAGGGGTCAGGGAGAGGACGTGATTCACGGGTCATGGAGAGGGAAGAAGGAGGAGGAGGAGGAGGAAGAGCAGAGGTTAGACATGGTTCAGCAGTGAAACAAGTTACATGACTGACTGACAGCCAGTGGGTGTGAGAGTGACTCTATCTCCTCTCCATCCCTCCCTCTCCTCTTCCTCTCCTCTCTCTTCTCCACCCTCACCAGACCTGAACTAATATATCACGAAGTTCACCACCTGTTTGGAGGGAGGGAAGGAGAGGAGGAGGGAGGAGGAGAGGGACAAGGAAGAGACATACAACAACACACACACACACACACACACACACACACACACACACACACAAGAGACAACAGACAATCACAGCCCCCCAGAACCTATTCAAGTGCTCCCAGGAAATACTCTAATCCTCTTGAGGGAATGAAGCAGCAGAAGGTGGTAACTTCCAGGGGCGCTGAAGGGAAATGTTTGTTGATGGCAGCTAACGTAGGGACGGGGAGGAGGGAGGGGAGGAGGGAAGGTTTAAATCAGGATAATATAAGAAGAGAATCTAGAGCTCTGTGATTTTTGCTGTCTTTTTTTTGGCACATGATGAAGAGAGAGAGAGAGAGAGAGAGGAGAGAGCAATACACCATAACGACTCAAGTCTCTGACAAAGGGATAAAGTCTGGCCTGTCACACTTGAAGAAGAAGAAGAAGAAAGAAGAAAAAAAACAACAAAGAAAAGAAGAAGAAAACAACAACAACAACAACAACAACAAAACAACAACAAAAAAAAAATAAAAAAAAAAACAAAAAACAAAACAAAAAACAACAAATAACAAAAAAAAAAAAAAAAAAAACAACAACAAAACAACAAATAACAAAACAACAACAAAAACAAAAAACAAAAATAAAACAACAAAGAAATAAAGAAGAAGAAGAAGAAGAAGAAGAAGAAGAAGAAGAAGAAGAAGAAGAAGAAGAAGAAGAAGAAGAAGAAGAAGAAGAAGAAGAAGAAGAAGAAGAAGAAGAAGAAGAAGAAGAAGAAGAAGAAGAAGAAGAAGAAGAAGAAGAAGAAGAAGAAGAAGAAGAAGAAGAAGAAGAAGAAGAAGGAAGAAGAAGAAGAAGAAGAAGAAGAAGAAGAAGAAGAAGAAGAAGAAGAAGAAGAAGAAAGAAGAAGAAGAAGGAAGAAGAAGAAGAAGAAGAAGAAGAAGAAGAAGGAAGAAGAAGAAGAAGAAGAAGAAGAAGAAGAAGAAGAAGAAGAAGAAGAAGAAGAAGAATAAATAAATAAAAAAATAATAAATAAATAAATAAATAAATAAAGAAGAAGAAGAATAATAAGAAGAATAAAGAAGAAGAAGAAGAAGAAAATAAATAGATGAAAGAAGAAGAAGAAGAAGAAGAAAAGAAAGAAGAAGAAGAAAGAAATAATAAATAATAACAATAAATAGAAGAAGAAGAAGAAGAAGAAGAAGAAGAAGGAAAAGAATAAATAAAGAAGAAGAAGAATGAAGAAGAAGAAGAATAAGAAGAAGAAGAAGTTGAAGAAGAAGAAGAAGAAGAAGAAGAAGAATAAATAAAAGAAGAAGAAGAAGAAGAAGAAGAAGAAGAAGAAGAAATAAATAATGAAGAAGAATAAGAACAATAACAATAAGAATAAATAATAATAACAAAAAATAAATAATAAATACAATAAATAACAAATAACATTGAAGAAGAAGAATAACATAAAGAAGAAGAAGAAGAAGAATAAATAAATAAGAATAGTAAAGAAGAATAAAAGAAGAAGAATAAAGAACAAAGAAGAATAATCATAAATGAAGAATAAATAAAATAATAACAACAATAAATAAAAGAAGAAGAAGAAGAAGAAGGAAGAAGAAGAAGAAGTTAATAATGAAGAAGAAGAAGAAGAAGAAGAAGAAGAAGAAGAAGAAGTTGAAGAAGAAGAAGAATAAAAAGTAATGAAGAATAGCTAGAAGAAGAAGAAGAAGAAGAATAATAGAATAAAGGAAGAAGAAGAAGAAGAAGAAGAAGTTAAAAAAGAAGAAGAAGAAGAAGACAGTCGTGTGGATCATTTCAGGCAGTGTTTAAATCTGCCACACACACACACACACACACACACACACACACACACCAACGCCTTGTGAACAGATTTTTCTACACTGTAATGTACTATACTATAACGTAACGTCCATTACACTATCTAATCTTCTGAATCATTGTACATATAGGCTGCATTACACTATACTGTGATGTATTACACTGTACTCGCTATGTCTCATTACACTGTACACAAAAAACAAACAAGTTAGGGGTGAGTGCATGTGGAGAAGTAATATAATTATAGATTTATATTTGATTTACTGTTTATCGCGCCATTGTAGCTCTCTCTCAACAAATCTCAAACCCTTTATAGCTATTACAACACTATCTAACACAATACAACACCATTCATTACAATAAAACATAATACAACACCATAAAATACAATACAACACAATACAATACAACATAATACAACACAAGGCAACACTCTAACATACAACACAATACAATAAATTCACTGACACTAAGACGTATAGTTGTTCCAGAGACGAAAAATTTACGCTATGTTCTATAGATTTTTATGTTACAAGAAGTATACAGGACTTACAGGTGGTACGAGGTGTTAAGAGGAAGTATACAAAGGTGTTACAGGGTTAAAGTATAAGGTGTTACGGTGTTACAAATGTTACAAGGTGTTACAGGAAGTATAAGGTTTTACAGGTATTACAGAGTGTTACAGGAAGTACATAAAAGTTTACAAGGTGTTACAGAAGTATAAGGTGTTACAGGGTGTTACAAGTGCTACAGGAAGTATAAGGTTTTACAGGTATTACAGGAGTGTTACAGGAAGTATAAGGTGTTATACAAGGTGTTGGGTAATAAGGTGTTACAGGGTGTTACAGCAGGAAGTATAAGGGTTTTACAGGTATTACAGAGTGTTACAGGAAGTATAAAGTTTTACAAAGTGGCAAGGAACTATAGTGTTACAGGAAATATAAAGAGTAACGAGGTATGTCACGTAATAACACAGCACTCGATGAGGTAACAAGTTTTGGCGGAAAAAAGCCAAGATCTGAAAGTTGACGAGACGATAATGTAAGAACACATAACACAATAGTCTAGTGCAGTGCCTCCTCTCTTCCCCCCTCCCTTCCCCCCTCCTTCTGCCTTCCCCCTCCGTCTGCACCCCTTCCCCTCCTTCCTCCCTCCCTTCCCACCTCTGTTCCTCCTCATCCCACTCCTGTTCCTCCTCATCCTCCTCCTTCTGTTCCCCTCCTGTTCCCCCTCCTTCTGTTCCCCTCCTGTTCCCCTCCTTCTGTTCCTCCTGCTCTTCTCTCCCTCCTTCTGTTCCAATCCTCTTCCCTCCCCTTTCCCCCTCCGTCTACACCTCCTCCTGCTCCTGTTTCCCTTCCTCCACCTCCTCCTCCTGTTTTCCTTGTCCCCTTCCCTCCTCCTACACCCTTCTTCTCTTCTTCCTGCTCCTCACCTCCTCCTCATCTCCTCCTCCTCCTCCTCCTACCTATCAATAAAATGGTAACACTTGAAGCAACACAAAGCCCATCCCTCAACACAACCTCACATCACCTCTCAACCAAAACAAATGATGGGAGCTCGAGTTTACATGGTAGAACCTGGTTGTTTGTGGTTGTTTGTCATTGTTTGTGGTTGTTTGTGGGTGTTTGTGGTTGATGACGTGTGAACAGTCATAACTTAGAGACAGAGATAGAGAGACGAATGAGTCAGCTTTAATCCTTCTACAGTAGTTCTTAGATGGGTTTGGTTAGTGATGGGTTTGGTTAGTGTTAGGTTTGGTTGGGTTTGGTTAGTGTTAGGTTAAGTTAGCTTTGGCTTGGTCAGTGTAAGGTAAACGTATATAACAGATTGGTTCAGCAAGAGTCATCACTTCTAATAGACTAAAGTGGTTCAAGAGTCATCCAACCCCAACAGACGTAACTAACAGGGTGGTTCAGCAAGAGTCATCCACAACCCCAACAGACGTAACTAACAGGGTGGTTCAGCAAGAGTCATCACAACCCTAACAGACGTAACTAACAGGGTGGTTCAGCAAAGTCATACCCCCTAACAGACGTAACTAACAGGGTGGTTCAGCAAGTCATCCAACCAACAGCACAACATGAGAGTCATCACCTTCCCAACAGACGTAACTAACAGGGTGGTTCAGCAAGAGTCATCACCTTCTAATAGACGTAACTAACAGGGTGGTTCAGCAAGAGTCATCACCTTCCTAATAGACGTAACTAACAGGGTGGTTCAGCAAGAGTCATCACCCTCTAACAGACGTAACTAACAGGGTGGTTCATAAGAGTCATCCCTCTAACAGACGTAACTAACAGGGTGGTTCAGCAAGAGTCATCTCCTTCCTAATAGACAACAACA